CCCCACACCCCCGCAGAATCACCCTGGTCCCCCGTTGATCATCGATTTGCTCGAGCGGGCGCCAGCAACGTCTCCATTCGTCCCTGTCGCGTGCAAGAGTTGTCCAGTGGACCCTCCTCGCTCGAGGGACACGAAGTCCTTCATTCCTTTCGTTCAGAGCTTTCGTGAAGAAGTCTGACCATCGGGCCGGCGGTCGTCCAGGTGTTCGTTTGACGTCCCGAGGGATCCAGTCGGTAACCGCTCTGGTCCAACGGTCATCGCAAAATCGCATGACGTGTCCGGCCCACCTTATCTTCGATTCCTTGGCGAAAACGGCAGCGTCCCTGATCTTCGATCGTTGGCGTAGTTCGGAACTCCGGATTCCCCTCTGCACTTGCGTGTATAGGGTTACTCCTAGCATCGTCCTCTCGACAGCGCGTTGGATAACGCTGACCGCATCTGACTAGACCGTGGTGGATACACTATTCGACAATATTCACAACTACTCTTTGGCTTCCGTAGTCCATCGACTTCTATGAGAAAGATCTTTGTGTGCACTGCAATTAGGAGTTATATGGCGATCTGGCGATGCACACCTCCGATACAGCTTCTTTTGGGAAAAATCCACCTGGCAGCAGGTGAGATTAGAAATCACTCTTTGATTCGGATCAAGTGGAGCCATTCTTCAAATAGAGATCATGAAACATCCTACTATATATAATTCGCTAAGTATGTCTGTCTGTGTGTGTGTCTGTGTGTACGTACGTCCGTCTGTCACGAAATTCATAGCGCGCTTCGCTGCAGGCATGGAACGCTGTATTTTGAGTATGATGTAGGGGGTGGGACGGCAACATATTTGGTGGGGTTTAGAAAGTGATACGACTGATAAGATCTGATAAGAGGCGCTGAAACGCAAATTTCACGAAATTCATAGCGCGCGTCCCAGCAGCAGTGGGGCGTTGGTTCCAAGAAGTGATGTACAGGGTGGGACGGGAACATGTTCGGTGGGTACAGGAAGTGATAAGGGCCGATAATTACGATATTCGTAGGAACATATGAGATCGCTTAAAACCGTGGTTCTAGATAACGCATTTCACTTCAGTATCATCTCATTGCGTTGTTGTCATCAACATAAAATACCGTTCGACCGCTAATTCCCAAAGTCCCTAAGAATGTATGATGGATGTTTAGCGATATACGATAATGGGTATTTCTATTGCAAAATCATTGGCATCAATATTATTCGACCGCTAAATCATCCTGACATCCAATGCATGGTGGCTGTTTACAGACACCACTTTAGCTCCGCACTCCACCGCGCGTATCAGACGGTTGGCTTAAAAATGGGCATTCTGTAGAAGGCCAGCTAACGCATTTCACGAAGCAAGTTATTGTTTAGCGGCGGAACCTAACGCTCCGCCGGCTGGCCAGCTTTACCTAGTCATGCACGCGGTAGTGTGCGGAGCTAAACTGGTGTTACCATAATTATATACAAAAACACTGGCGAATTGAAGGTCTAGTCATGAGCTCCACTCATCATTCCGTAAGTTCATTTGCTGTAGTTCGACCATGTAACCATATTTATGCCCCACCCTGTATTTCCGAGCGATGTACCCTGCTCGTGGAGCTGTTTTCAATCTATTGTCCTATATTCCTAATATTATGACCATATGAGAATCCGTAAGCACCGCAGGCAGACTGAGTGCCAAGTCGTGCAAGTGTGCGTTAATATACAAAAAACATCTCTGGTGGTTTTTCACAGTGGTAGATCGTTTGCATTTCAAAAGATGGCACGCGAAGAGTTGCGTTCGGCAGTTTCGACAAATAGTGGGACTTCAGTCGTTCCGTGTGACTTTGCGGCCGATGTCAGACTTTGCGAATCGCGCATTCGCAAAGTCTGACATCAGCCTGCTGGAGCCCCGGTCGTGAGGCCTACAGTTCGCGCGTGTTCGCGCTGACGTGTAAATGCAAGGCTTCGAATAGTGTCCCTTTTTGCTTGCTCCACAAAATTCCCCCCCCTCCTAGCACCATTGTGAACGTGTTCAATGAGCGAACGTTATTCTGCCATGTTTCCGATAAAGGAATCAGTCATTGATGTTTGTTTTACATAATTATGTGTTTGAGCTGATGGTGAGCAGAATTCACACCATTTATAGTGACGGTTGGATGCTTTCAGGTTTTCTATCATGGACGCGTTAGTAATGGCTTCTCATGGAATGTTAATGAGAGTAGAAAAGTGCGATGATGGGAAGCTCCTTTGCGCGAAAATTCAAGCAAATAAAATCACAAAAAAACAATATCCAGGAGATATTAATGTGAGCACCAATTTAATTCATAGGCAACGGCCACCCTCCGCACGAAGCGATGCCATTACTCGCGGAGGAGGATACATTTGTTTGAAGTGGACAGGGGTCGCAACGAAGAGGGTGGAGCTAGAATCTAAAATTTCCAGCACGGTCCCAAGTTATGGAGGTCGATAATAGACATTATAAAACTGTATAAGTTTGTGATAGTACTGAGTGCAGAAATTCGTTTGCCCCCACATGTGCCCATCGTTGCAGCACCTCGGACTCCGCAGACTCCCCAACCAGGTCAGGGTCAAGCGTGCGTTGAGGAATCCTCGACATGTCACAGAGGGGGGGGGGTCGTATTGGCCCGCTGGGGAGAGATCGGGCCCGATTGATACAGTAGGATCATCGTCGGAGGACAAACATTAAGGATCGAATCGATACCAGGCCAGAGTATTTCCAATAACAATTGATTCCGTCCACACAAAATCTTCGTGATTTAGAGGTGTCCGCTTAGCAATTCTTAGTGACTTTAGTGTTTCATCACCACACAAGTCAAAGGATCCGAAATTCGCACGTTTTCTAGGGATATTTTATCTTTCAAGTAGGTCCTCAAATCCAACGAGATGTGAAGCACACGGCGCATCCCAGAGTGGGCCCAGTTGGTTGCGCGCGCTTCAGCTACGGCTATCTTGATAACGAATCTTAATTCAGGAAGAATCAAGAGGGTTCTGAAAGAGTTCATGTTAAATTACAGAGAGGAGTACACTATTCAACAAGAAACGCAGCCTTCAGCGTCAAATTCACAAGCATGTAACCTTTAAAGTTGAGACCCGCTAAACAATTTTACACTTTTTGCAGAGAGAAAAGCACGAGGATTTTGAATCTGCTCCTACTTCAGTATGTAATCGCTCCTGCAAGGAGCTATAGTCGTTGGGATAGTGCTAATGTAGCGAAAAAGTACCTTTCGGCGGTACTCGGGCAAAAATCCTCAACGTGGCCATTTTTTAAATAGTGAACGTATTTAGCAGTTTTAGTTGCCATAGAAAGAGCAAATCTTCTAGTTTATGATGACGTATTAACTTTCCAGATTGCATGAGTTTGAACGGAGTTATGGCTTTGGAAAGCGTAAAAACTCGCACTCATCACGAATTTTCCTCGTTAATTTTGCAAAAATCCTCAACGTGGCCATTTTTTGAGTACTGGACGTATGAAGCTGCTTTAGCGACCGTTTGATAGAGAAAATCTTCTAGTTTTGTATGACGTATCAACTTTTTGAATTTGACGGAAATGAAGCAAGTTATTGCTCCGGAAAGTGTAAAAACTCGTGCTCGTCTCGAATTTTCCTCGTTATTTGATCTAAATTTGTTATTTCTTATAACTTCCTGTAATTTCAGTACTGATTAGAAAAAGCTCTTCACAAAACTCCCAAATCAGCTTTCAGATTGAAAATTCGTTAACTTTGAAGAAAGTTATAATCATTTGAATATTTGTTCAAATTTCAATAGTAAATAAGCTGCTCCACGGTCAACGCCAAAGTCCAGTCAACACACAGCTGGCGAAGGCTTTTACAAGGCTTCCTTTGAGCGAAAGGGGGACGTGTAAATTGAGAACCATAATCTGTGTAGTACTAGAATTTGGTAAGTCTTGTGGAGGAAATAAACAAAGAAGAGGTGTTGTCATAGTACGCCATTTCTAGTGACTAGTTTGACGTTTTTTGCTCCGTTTCTCGTTTGCTCGTTTGACAGGACTCGTCATTAATGATCATTCTTTGACTTTTTCACTTTTATACTTTTTAAACGAGTTTTTTTGTGGACGATGGGGTAGCAGGGCTTTTTTATGAGCAGTTTTGGTGGAGAATTAAACAACTTTTTCATAGTTCGGCTTTTAAAGAGGGTTGTTTCATGGACTTCGGCCTTCGGCAGAGGGGGGGGGGTCGTATTTCCGAATTTTCCTCGACGCCTCGCTTGACCCTGCTCCGCGCACCCGTGACAATGCTCTCGTCTCTCATGTCTATCGCTGCCCTCCGCCTCGCATAACAACTTTGTCCTGAAACACCCTGTCTCTGAAACGCATCTCTTACATTCGGAAACATGGATACCTTAACTGTGATGGGTCTTTAGGGTTGCTTTCTTCATTGACAAATCAGTTAGCGCCTACTGTTTTGTATACGGACTCATTAATGACCCAGTTTTTTGCTGGTGGGAATGTGCCTTCGAAGAGCGGAACTGGGAACGTTCGGTAGGATGATGGAGGTTTCATTTTCTGGCTTTGATCATAGGCTTAATCCACTTTTTGGCTTGTATGAAGCTGTCACCCCTCAATCACATCTGACGTTTAGAAAGAAATAAGAGCACTGGAGTTGATGAAGACGAAAAAAGTCGACAACAAATTCTTACCCAAACTATGGGGAAAAGGAAAGACACCTGATCTGACGTAATTGTTATAGTGTTTTTTTTTTCAGCAAATCCGATTGTGAAAACTGCTCGATTTCAGGTTCTACATCACCGACCATGTCGGGCAAACTTTGCAGCGTCAATTACGTAGGTATAAAATTAGGTAAGTTAATTGATTTGGGAAGGGAATTGAATTGAAATACTTTGCCGTTATAAGTATGTGGTTTCTCATTCCAACACGCAGACATCCATCAAGCAGCGTTCATAGCAAACATGTTCTGAAAACCTCGCCCACTTTGATTATGATGGTAGTGGAATGTAAAATAAATGAATCGGTACCATATCCGATCTCCTCCTACTAAAGATTTCCTTTAACAGCCCAGCAACCATTTTGCTATCTTTGCCTACCTCCACCTGGTAATCATTGCGTTTGATCTCCAAAGGATGACAATGGAGATCTCCAAAGGATGAACAGAATTAGGACTATGAGACAAATGGTTAACGAAGTGCTAATGAATGAAGTGGAACTCTAACACCTAACAAGGAAAGGCCCTCAGGCGCCACAGCCATCAGAGGGAAATGTATACTCCTACATGCTCCTTGAAACGTTGCTGTCCAAATTTGCTACACGATTTTTCGACGGAGGTATGAAGCGGAAGAGCGCAGCAGTAGTGGTCCGAAGTCTCAGTCAAGAATAATGATACCAGTTCTGTCGAGAGTCTCTTTCTTTGCCTTCATCGTAAAGCTTTTTACAGTTTTTTTACTCGCTATTTCATCAATGCCTTTCTATACTGCTCCCTGAAACGATGCTGTCCAAATTTGCTAAACGATTTTTCGACCGGAGGCTTACCCGTATGGTTGACGATGAAACGTGGGCACCATTTGCCTGTGTGTGCTCATAGTCACCCAAATTGTTCCCATAATTTATAGACAACCAATTTACGGATGGCTGTAGGCAGACGACGTTTATGAAGTGAGTTTTTTGAGAAATAGGTATTGCGCGCAAAAGTAATGAATAGTCTCGCAAACGGAGCGATCCCACGTGCACTTACCCAAAGAGTAGGCTCCGCTACCGCTGCGCTTTGCGGCTTCATTCTATCCAGCAAATTTGTAGGTTAGATTTGAAGTCAGCATCTCAAAGCGCACCTGGCAATATAGATTTTAAATGGCATGGCGACCTAGAGGCTTTTCCTCGAAAGCGATATGAAAAATTGAAAAAATCCACCGCAATTGAAGGATAAGAATAAAGAGCACTTTGCCAATTTCAGCAGTACATCAGCCTTTCGCTTATGCCGTTACATAATAGAAGCGATGAGAACCGTACATGAGCTTGGTCTTGTACATGGCAATATACGACCGTCTTCGATTCTTGTCGGTGGTCCTCATGAAAGAGATGTTGTCCGGCTGTTCGGATTCCAGTTCTGCACTGTACACCCAAAAAAGTTTGTTTCAGCTTTTTTTTCGTACAATGCCGGTCCCAAAATGGCAGTTTAGGCCGAACGACACAGAACAGATAGGCTATCCACTCGACAGGTACACCCCGAGAGCTGTGCATAAAGGCGAACGTGCGAAACCAAAGCACGATCTTGAAATGTTTATCTACTTGGTATGTTCTGGAGCCTCGTTTAATATCGCTTTAATAAGATATTGAAATGTGTTTTGAGGTTCCTTTTTGAGGTGTTTAGACCAAAAACGACTCGGTAACTGATTGTAGGTCACCATGCTAACCATAAGTTACTAATTGGCGGTTCACATGTGAGGTCCTTCACATGTGAGGTCAGGAAATCTGTGGTCTTTTGGAACAAAGGCACCCAAAAAAAGCACGCACGCGCTCATGTCAAATGACATCACAACAATTCCAATGGGACAATTCTAATATTTCTACTGTCTCATGACATCAACAGTTAGGTGCGTGCACAGTTCACCTGAAAAGATTCGAATTGCTCGTGGGGCAATCAGGCAAGCTCACATTGCACAATGTGGTAAGATTGATCCCTTGATGGTCGTCAAGAATCTGAGCACCATACAAGGAAGGAGAGGGTCGTATTCGTGATTTTCGGAAGATGTGAGCCACAGTTAATGGAGTGGTGCAGTGATTGTCTCGACCGACTTCAAAACGATATCGTTTTGTTTCCGTAGCTAGCGAAGTTTCGGCTTGCTTCTTGATGGTGACCGCAGCCTTCCTACTCCAGCCAGCTCTAGTGTACCACCACTAATGGCAGAATATAAGACGAAGAGCTCAGTGTTGCAATTCTTCACAATTCAGCTTTCATTTGTGCAGTCAACATTCATCTAGCGACTTGAGCAGGGGCGAGGTGAAAGTCCTGAAAAGGTCAGAAGAGCGTGGACGGAACTCAATCACATTCCTGTTGCAGACAACTGGTGTTCCTTGAATACCACGATCAAGCTGCTGTGGTTCTTGCATATGAAAATGAAAGGAGGAGTGCTGTGATAGAGATAGATAGATAGGAGTGATATTATTCCATCGTAAATGCTGAGATCAAGGGCTTATCCATATTTATAAGGTTTGACAAAGCTAACCGTAACACAGAACATGGAGTAGAAAGGACAGGGCAAAGAGCACAAAGTATGGCGCAGCGCACACTCCCGCATGATACGAAGAAGAAATGGGTGTGGTTAAAGCGCTTTTTGCAAGGCTATAGCGCGCTTTTGAGCCGAGAATGGAACATCGGTGATTTCAATGGACAATTCTATTCACCCATCAAAGGGATTGATGCACCTGGTTCCATCACGACCTGTGCCTTTAAAAGACTCCAGGGACCTACTGCTATGTAGATGTGGCATTTATCATTTTGGGATGCTTCAGTTGCTCCTAGCGTGGGTATTTCGAAGCAGCTTGAAAGGCAACGCTTTTGCTTCCGCTTCTTTGCCTTAGTTGAAGGCAAGAATCAGAAGAAGAAGAATAAAATTGTAAATTACACAGGGAATACGAGCCTTTTGTTCTACACTGTGAAGAAGTTCAAAAGGTAGGCAGGGAGATGAGAGATAATGTGAGCGCGGAGAGCGTAGAGAAGTCCGAGAAGAGAGCATAGCAGATCAACGTGGCGACGCAGACAAGATATCGAACGGTGGGCGGACCATGTTAGTTTGGTGGAGTCTGTTAGAAGTCCATGGCGCCTGCCGCTTTATGTATGTAGGAAGGAGGAGAGACCTCTACACTTGCGTACCCAAGTACTTCTAGCCACGAAAAGAGCTTGTTAAGCAGGTCTGAGCTCGAACTTCGCCTCTAAGATACGCACATTTCTTCGGTTCAGCTAGGGCTGTGCGGATTTCTGCAAAGCGCACTTATTTTTGTGTTCATAAGTAAAGCGTAGAACTAGGAAACCAAAACAAGCTTTTTCAGTAGATTTGAAGTTCGGAGATGTGAACTGTGCACGTCATCTAACTCTTTGATTTGTTCATGAGACAGTAGGAATATCAGAATTATCCCATTAAAATTGTTGTGCTATCATTTGACATGGGC